CGACTCGAACGACTGGTTCGCCAACCCGGTGCGAGTCATCTCCTCGTCGAGGATGTCCCGGTCCACCAAGACGAGGTTATCGTAGGCCTTCGAAGAGATGGAAGAAACACAGAAGGAGGGAGAGGGGAGCGGGCGGAGCGGGCGGGGAGGATCATCAAGCTCGCTGTAGGCTCAAGCGGTGCCATCACCCATTTGTAAGGATGGAGAAATACTGGAGGCCGTGGCACGGCAGAAAGCACAAGGGGGAGAAGCGGCCCCCTATATGTGTTACCCACGCCAGCGGCCGTGAAGGAACTAGCCCATGAGGCGATCTGTAGTCCGTGACACCACAGGAAGGTTTCGTCTACAGGTGGGGATGCGACTCCAAATTCTTTGGTGGGGATTTGGAATAATCGTAGTTCCGAACGAGTGGTCTGGGGGTCCATTGTCGGAGCCCCTCTTGACATCGAAACGGGCAGGCTGGCGCGCGGTTCTAGGGAGGTGGACGTGGTAGGGAAGGGAAGGCCTTTCTGGGCCACAGGCGGGGGAGGAGGAAGAGGAGGAGGATGAGGAGGGAGGATGCGGAGGGAAATGGAGTAGTAGGAGGGAAGGCGAAACGGGGGACGGAGGGAGAAGGGAAAGGAGAAAGAGAAGGAGGAGGAGGATGAGAAAAAAGAAGAGGAGGAGGAGGAGGAGGAGCAGCAGGAGCAGGAACAGGAGGAGGAGGAATAGGAGGACGAGGGAGGAGGAAGAGGGAGGAGTGGGAGGAGGGAGGACGAGACAGGGAAGGAGAAGAAAAGGGAAAAGGAAAAGGGGAAGGAAAAGGAGAAGGCACGAACGTCGCCTTGCGGGGGCGTCCGACGGCCCTAGCACGGCCGCGCGCGCGAGGCGGGCGGGGCGGTGCAGCAGCCGACTTTCATCATGTAGGAGGTGCGGCAGCCGGAAGTGGGGAAGTCGCTACTTTCGGAGTCGCTGGTGGCGAAGAGCTCAGCGTCTGCCTCCATGTGCGCTTGGGACCAGTCCGGCGTGGTGGAGCCGCCATCAATACCGCCGCAGCACATTGCGGTACTGATGAGGCCCTCCAACGATGCGCAACCGAACGAGGCCTGAACTCCGATCATGTCCTGCGTCCGTTATGCGGGGTGCTCAGCAGTTCGTTGTAGCGGCTCTGCGTGTTGATCGACAGCAGGTCGTCGGAGACAGTGGCGTAGTTGAGCGCAGGCTCCGTGCTCGCGAACCTGGCGAAGGCCGATTCCTCACGCTTGCTGGCGATGGCGTCGAGCATGGAAATCACGCGAGAGGCGGAACTGATGATGGAATGTAAGCTCTTCTTGTCGAGTGGGGCCCCTTCTCCAGCAAGTCGGATTCGGCTGATTCTTGAACTTCGAATGTGTGCAGCGAGCCGTCGTGCGGGACGTTCGTCAGGTCGTCGTAGCGGTTCGGAATGCTAATCGGCGACCAGGTCGTTAAAGTCGGTGGCGCGGTTGAGCGCGGGCCCGGCGTTCACAGGCATGGCGATGGCAGAAATCTTGCGCTTGTCGGCGATGACGTCGGACTCTGGTATCGCGCTGTAGGCAGCCGCGATGATGGACTGCAGGTTCTTCTCGTCGGGCGGGCGGCCCTTCTGGTTGACGCTCTGCGTCTGGATGCTGTTCGGCGCTGAGTCGGCGAAGGCGGGCGCGCTGAACAGCGCGGCGTCGGCGTCCGCAGGCGCGGCATAATCAGACACGGCATGCATGTCGGGCAAGGGGTTCGCGGCGAGGACGGCCGTCACCGCGCTCTGCGACAACGGGTCGCCTTCGTACTTGTTGTTGGTAGTGTGGCAATGGACTCGCAAATCAGCGCGACCTGCTTCAGCGGCTGCTTGCGCTTGTCCAAGATGTGGGTGAAGTGGAGCTCGGCCGCGGCGATGGCCGCGGGCGGGCCCTGCTTGAACTCTATGTTATGGTCGCTGACCTGCTTGACGAGGCCATCGGGGGTACGTTGGTCATCCCGTCGTTGTTGCTCGCTTGCGTCAAGTGCGGGCTCCAGCTTCTCCAGATCCGATCGCAACTTAGCCATGGTGGAAGACGAGTGAAGCGCAGCGTCTGCGCGAGGGAGGCCACCTCCAAAACCAACACTCTGCGCAGACTTGCCAACGGATGCGACCTCCTGCGCCGCGTCCTGCAAGCTACTGTTGAAACCTCGACGCGCGGGCGTGGGAAAACCGAGGAGGTTCCGTTGCCCGGAGCACGGGCAGCAGGCTGAGCTTGAGCTTGAGTCGCCTTTGAGCTTGCATTTCATGGTGGTGGTCCAGGCCTTGTGCGAGCTGGCATTGCGGTTCTTGGCGATGTCCCGCATGAGATGGCACTCCTGCGGCCAGAAGCGTCCTCGACAATGCCTGGGAGTGCGTCCTGATGTGGGAGCTGATGAAGAACTTCGAGGTCGTAATGAAGGCAAACGCTACGAGCAGCGTGTTGCGCACGACTCTCGACAGCTGGGTGGTCTTACTCCTTGACGTGACCAACCGGACCGCATCGTGAATAACGACCGCATATTTGATGGCCATGGCGTAAGCCGAGGAGTTGCCCACGGACAAGCCGCGCTTGCGGCGCAAGACACGCGGGGCAGCGAGGCGAGCATCACCAATCGGGGTGGGAATGGCTATGGAGAAAAGTCGAGCCGGCTTCCCTGACATACTATGGCTACGAAGGAGGAGGAGAAGGAGGAGAAGGAGGAGGAGAAGGAGTGAACGTACCTTGAGGCGAACTCGTCTGTCAGCCCCGCACACGCACACGCCTGACTAGAGAGAGGCGGCGCGTGAGAAACGGCGGACAACGGCTCGGCGCCACAGGAGAGATTTCGCTGCGGCCACCGCTTCAGCAATATTTGCTGGCGACGGCGCTGCGTACTGCTTCATTTTGTTGTAAATGTGAAAAGCCAGCGCGATCCTGCGAATCGTCTGCCGCAACGAGAGGTCGCTGGCAGGCTCGGAAGGGTACGCGGCTGCGGGGCCCAAGCCCCAGGTTGTATATGTGCTGAGGAGAGGAGCAGAGTCGGGGGACCACAGGAGGCTCAGGAGGACAGGACAGGAGAGGTAGCGGGGAAATGAATCGGGTGCGTTCGGGCACCCGGACACGCACTGGCGCGGGGCGAGCACATGCATGCGGTGGGTGGTGGTCCACACTCCACTGAGCGATTTGAAAACCGCCCAGCGCCAGCTAGGACGGACCTCTCCGAGCGCTTTTGTGAGAGCGGACCAGCGGCTGGAAAGCTCTGGGGGAGGCGGCGGCTGCTGTAGTCCCCAGGCTTCGATGCGCTTCGTGAGAATGACAGTGAACGGCGAAGAGAAAAAAGGCACGCCGCAGAGCGAGCGCGACCACCCTTTGCACCTTCGGGCGACGCGGCGGCTCTGCAGCAGGCGCCTCGCGAATTTCGGCTCGTGCAGCGCGATTCGCCAGGGCCGCGGCTGCTGCCGAAAAGGGCGGGGCGCGCTGCCCGCAAGACAGGGCGTGGTAGAACTGCACGATGGACGAGGCCTCTTCCCAGAAGGGGGGAGACCAGCGCCCTGCTTCCCACCGAGGGAAGGAATGGACCGCGCTCTCCTCCCAGGCGGTGTCTCGCAGACGGTGGAAGAAAGGTTCCCATTCTCCGCGGGGTGTGACAGTAGCTGAACGGATGGCGGCGGCGGCAGATGCGACTTGAGCTGAGCGAGGGACAGGTGGCGGACTCCATTCCGCCATCGAAATGAAATCTACCTTCCGAAAAGAGTTGGGCGGCATACTGAGCATTTTGTGGAAGACGTAAAGTTCACGGCGAGCAATCTTATAATCGAGCGGGAAAAACTGAGCAACGTAGCTGAGCGTGGACAAGACGGAAGTGTTATATAAGCGAACGGTGGCATCACTGCCAGACTGGACGAGGTTGAGCATATTACCGCGCTGCCACCACTTTTGCCCTGGGGCGAGCCATTGAAGGGCGAGGGAGGCGGAGGGTCCGAGGAAGGTCCCGAGGTACTTGGCTCGCCCCGAAATCGTGAGACCGCCCCAGGAAGGACAAAGGTCGGCCAGGAGCGCTTTCGTTTGGGCAGTGGTGGCAGGAGAGACAGGCGCCCACAGGGGCACGACTACACACTTGCGGGGTTTGAGGGAGAGAAGCGCGAGCTCCTCTGCGGCAGAAAAGGGCTCAGATGCCTTGCGCAGCGTGTCGAACGAGCATGTGAGCAGGCCAGTGTCGTCCGCGCATACGCCGAAGTAGCCTTTGTCGTAGTCGGGCGTGCCGTCGGGGTGCTCGATGAAGGAGGCGATGTGGCGGACGAGCGGGTCCATCGCGATGGCCCATGCCGAGCCACTGGCGGGGCAGCCCTGCGCGACGCCCGACTCGATGGCGAACATGAAGAGGCGGACCCCGTCGACCTTGAGGAAGCTGTCCGGCGCGTGGTACAGGTTGCGAAAGAGGCTCATGAGGCCGATGGGGACCCCGAAGCGCTCAAGTGCCGCAAAGAGCCAGGCCCGTCCCAGAGACGGGAACGCCGCCGCGAAGTCGAAGCTGGTGAAGACAGGGTGGTGATCAGCAGCATCAGGACGTATCCCAGCGCGGCGCATTTCGGCGTCAAGAATGACGATGTGATTGGTGAAGTTGCGGCCGACTACGAAACCCTGCTGCGCCTTGTGGGTCCGCTCTGCCACAGCGGATTTGAGGAGGAAGTTGGCTGCGCCTGCGATGGCCTTGATATCAGTGTTCTTGAGCGAGAGCGGGCGCGTGTCCTCAGGCGCCCTGTCGGTCTGCAGCTCGCCGACGAGGTTGTCCCCTTTTCGGCAGGAAGGCGAAGTCAGAATCGTTCAGGAGGAGAAGGAGGAGGAGGAGGAGGAGGAGGAGGAGGAGGAAAAAGAGGAGGAGGAGAACGAGGAGGAGGAGAAGGATTACCAAACCCGCGGTCACTCTTCCTTCTCCTTCTTTATATATATTGATATATTATGTATATATATATATATATATCTTATTATACTATATATATATATATATATATATATTTCGGGCCTTTCCCTTCCTCTGCCTCTGCCTCCCCCACCATCCCTGCTTTCGCGTTCCTTCCTCTCCCCCTCCGCCCCCCGTTTGGCCTCGCCGCC